AGGGGTGAGGGGGAGAGAAGGGATTACACTCTACCCATCCATGCCCATTTCCTGATATTTTTTCTCTTGTTTTATGATTCACCTTTCTGACGTCATGTCACGCGTTATCACCGATGCCTTAACCTGTTTTTTAAGTCCTATAATTTGTTCACGATTTGTCTTTCTCACGTGATTTGCATGACACATTAAAGGTTTTACCGTAAATTATGCAGTTTCCTCTGACGGGTTTTTCTTATGTTATGTCAACTTTGTCCAAAAGTTGTACATGTGTACGTCTGTGATGTCACTGATTTCTGTACAGTTAAATCCATTAAGATCCATGCACACTTTGAAAATGTTGGAATGTACTCGCAGTTTGCAGAATTCTTGTTGATGTTGTTGAGTCAAAAGTAAACGAATCATCATCATCATCATCATCATCATCATCATCATCATCATCATCATCATCATCATCATCATCATCATCATCATCATCATCAGCATCAGCGTCAGCATCATCATCATCATCATCATCTTTGAAGAAAAAAATAGAGTAGGATAGACTTCGTCAGTCATTTTTGGACAGTAAAATATAACTAAGAATATTGTTTTCGTTTTTAGTTACTGAAACGGCTAAAATATTTTGCCTAGACGGCTTCACAAGGAACGCTTTGCTTGTCGCTTATACTGCATATTGTCTGTCGCAAAGTTCACCAGGGACACTTTGTCTGTCGCTTATTAATATAACGCGCGCTGTCTGTCGCTGTATTCATTAAGAACACTTTGTATGTAGCTTATGAGTACGCTTACCGTAAATTGTCTGTCGTTATGCTCTCCAGGAACACTTTGTCTGTCGCTTATACAACGAGCTGTCGGTCGCAAAGTTCCCCAGGAACACTAATTGTTTGTTGCTTATCGTAAATAGTCTGTCGTTATGTTATTCAAGAACACTTTGTATGTCGCTTAAAAGGCGCGATGTCTGTCGAAAAATTTACCAGGAACACTTTGTGTGTCGCAAATTAATAAACCGCGCGTTTGTCTGTCGCAGTGTTCTCCAGGAACACTTTGTCGCTTATACCGCGAGTTTTCTTTTGCAAAGTTCATCAGGGGCACTATATATGTCGCTCATACATTGTGATTTATCTGTCGCTTGTACCGCGAGTTTTCTGACGCTAAGTTCATCAGGAACACTTTATCTATCGCTTATTGCTCATTGGGTTCACAGGGATGACTGAGAATAAAGGTAAGGGGGAGCTCTGTAAACAAACACTAGGAGAGGAAAGAATCACAATGGAGGACTTACAGACAGGCGAGTCGGACGTGACTCAGCGTGAGCCAGGCCAACGAGTTATGTTGACGAAATAAATTATGCAAGCACATCGCATAACATAACATATTACTTTATACGTAAATGAAAAATCTCTCCCAGAATTCAGAAGTCTTATGGTTAGGCTTCCGGACTCGTAATCGTGAGATTGCAGATTCATAAGTTCGAGACTCAGCTCGGCCCTACGCTGTGTCCTTAGGAAAGGCACTTTGCACTTTGCACCAATTTTCCCAACTGGCCCGGTCCTATCGGAGATGGACTTTGCAGGTAAATTTTATACGAGGGTCTTGCTTGTTAAATAACCCTAAATTGTAACAAGGGGCGTTTAAACTGTACAATTTCGCATATTTTTCCCTGGCCATAGTAAGGTTAATGGGAAGTTCCTTCAGCTGACACGCTGAGGGGTTTGTCTTGGTAAGTGTTTTACGGAGCTCTCAACTGCACGAGGTCAAATGACCACGCAAGACTGAGGATGGGACAGACTAAGGAGGAACTTTGTAAAGTAATGATAGCACCTGATTGTTATGTTATAATATTGTTATACTATAACATTGCTATACTATGCTGTTGTGATATATTTTTGTTATGATGTATTGTTATGCTAGTATATTATTATAATATATTGACACAACAATATTGTTATACCATATTGTTCTGATATATTGTTATAATAATATATTGTAATGCTAATATATCATTAAGATAATAATATATTGTCACAATATATTATTTTTATGATATATTGTTATAACAATGTTTTATTTTAGCAAGACTTGCTTACACGTTCTGATTTTATCAACTTTGCTCTTTTATTGCTTGTATTACCCGGAGAGATTTGTTTTTCTTCTATTTCTTGATTTGGACTCGTGGGATACAGC